ATGATGCTATATACAATAAATAAATAAATGCTTGTTATGCACTGTGGAACCTAAGTGTAAGGAATGGACTGGCTAGCAATAGTGGGACTCGCCTGCCTTATGAGCTGCAGTACCAGGGCTGGCCAGCGGGTGCTCCCAGCAATCAGAGACTCAACCTTGCAGCCAGTCAAACACCTGGAACTAATTATACTGGTGTATTTAAGGGACATTCAGACCTGCAGACTCTGCCTTGGTGTTGTGTTTCTCCTGGGCCCTGTTTCCTGTTTCCTGTTCCCTGTTCCTGTCTGATTCTCTGCTGACCCTGCTCTGATCCCTGGCTTGTCTGACCATTCTCCTGCTCCTGATCCCTGGCTTGTCTGACCATTCTCCTCTGCCTGACCCTCTGTACCACGCTGCCCGCTACCTGCTGAACCTGGCTTGTGACCCCGACCATTCTCCGCTTGCTCCCCCTGTACCTACCTGCCCGATTGATATTGACCCGGCCTGCCTGACGACGCTTGCATTGTATGTACTGTTATCTGTGGGTGGTTGGTTGGGTTTGTTTGCACTGTGTTATGTTTTAGTATTGCACTGCATTTATGTTTGTATTGTTAGTGTTAATAAATTACATTGTTTTTATAACATATCTGAAGTCTGCGTTTCCCTGCGTCAGTCACGCACCTCTGGTCACACCTGGGAGCCCTGACATTACACCAAGGCCAATCCTGACCAGAAGTGGCTGCACAGGGAAGCCATCTTGGTTTGTTGATGGGAAGGATGGATCTGGATGAGGTTGCGTATTTATATCTGCTAGTGTTTGATGACAGGGAGTATGCTTATCAAACTCTGAAGGAGTATACCCGGGATGAACTGGTAGAATGTATACGGATCGCTCATGTTCTAGTAGATCAGGGCACAGAGTTCTCTGAGGTGCAGCCTTTGATTCAGGTTTGTGCTGAGTTGGTTTCATCTGGTACCCCCGAATGCAGGGATGAATTTTTGCACCATTTAGTGCAGACCAGGTAGAGTCTCTGGTGTGGTTATTAGAGGATGATGTGGATTACTTTCTGGAGCGTTATTCCACATGTTCACCACAGACACTAAGAGATTGTATAAACGCAGTGCAGTCTTTGGTCAGACAGGCTTTGTGTAAGCTCAGCTTTGTTCAACCCATACTGCAGACATGGGCAGATTTGTTGCACCCAGCCTCAGTCAGCTTACAAAGACCCAGTCCTGCTTCTAATCTATTTCCTCAAAGCGCTACTCCTGTATTCCCAACAACTCCTCCAGTTACAGCCCAGTATACCCTGCTATCTACCGCATGTCAGTACCCTGTTCCCACTCGCTGCACCTATCCTGCCTTTAACCCTGTAAAAAAGCTCTCTGTAGCAACTGCTCCCTCCTCTGTCCCATCCTCCAGCTCTTCTCTGTCTCCAGCTGCTCCATTCGTTTGCAGACCTGCGTTTACTTGCAGTGCTCCAGTAGTTAAAACAGAAAAAAGCGAAAATTCTTTCCAACCAATACCATCCTGCCAGTATCCAAACCGGTGAACCTGCCTTCCGTGACTCAGCCTGAAGCCTCTACTCAGCCTGAATCCTCTACTCAGCCTGATGCCTGTACGCAGCCTGATGCCTGTACGCAGCCTGATGCCTGTACGCAGCCTGAATCTTCTACTCAGCCTGAAGCCTCTACTCAGCCTGAAGCCTCTACTCAGCCTGAAGCCTCTACTCAGCCTGAATCCTCTACTCAGCCTGATGCCTCTACTCAGCCGGATGCCTTTACTCAGCCGGATGCCTGCATTCAGCCTGATGCCTCTACCCAGCATGATGAACTGATCCAGCCTGACGATCTTATTAGGCCTGGTGACCCGATGCCCGCTGTCGAGCCAGACAATCCGGTACCTGATGACCCGGTGCCCGCTGTCATGCCAGTTGACTCAGAGCCTGCTGTCGTGCCTGGTGACTCAGTGCCCACTGCCTTGCCAGATGACGCGGTGCCCGCTGGCGAGCTAAATGACCCGATGCCTGGTGACCCAGTGCCCGCTGTCATACCTGGTGACCCGATGCCCGCTGTCGAGCCAGACGATCCAATGCCTGGTGACCCGGTGCCCACTGCCTTGCCAGATGACGCGGTGCCCGCTGGCAAGCCAAATGACCTGATGCCTGGTGACCCAGTGCCCGCTGTCATACCTGGTGACCCGATGCCCGCTGTCGAGCCAGACAATCCGGTACCTGATGACCCGGTGCCCGCTGTCGTGCCAATTGAGTCAGAGTCCACTGTCGTGCCTGGTGATTCGGTGCCCGCAGTCTTGCCAGACGACTCGATGCCCGCAGTCTTGCCAGACGACTCGGTGCCCGCAGTCTTGCCAGACGACTCGGTGCCTGCAGTCTTGCCAGACGACTCGGTGCCCGCAGTCTTGCCAGACGACTCGGTGCCCGCAGTCTTGCCAGACGACTTGAAGCCCGCTGTTCCGCCAGTTGACTCGATGCCCGCTGTTCCGCCAGTTGACTCGGTGCCCGCAGTCTTGCCAGACGACTCGGTGCCCGCAGTCTTGCCAGACGACTTGGTGCCCGCAGTCTTGCCAGACGACTCGGTGCCCGCAGTCTTGCCAGACGACTCGGTGCCCGCAGTCTTGCCAGACGACTCGGTGCCCGCAGTCTTGCCAGACGACTCGGTGCCCGCTGTTCCGCCAGTTGACTCGGTGCCCGCTGTTCCGCCAGTTGACTCGGTGCCCGCAGTCTTGCCAGTTGACTCGGAGCCCACTGTCGTGCCTGGTGACTCGGTGCCCGCCGCTCCGCCTGGGGGCCCGAGACCTGTCGCTCCGCCTGGGGGTCCGGCGCCCGCCGCTCCGCCTGGGGGCCCGATGCCTGTCGCCCCGCCTGGGGGCCCGATGCCTGTCGCCCCGCCTGGGGGCCCGGTGCCTGCTGCTCCGCCCGGTGGCCCGCTGCCTGCTGCTTCGCCTGATAATCCGATGTGCCTCTGCCCGGAGTCCAGCCCGATGTGCCTCTGCCCGGAGTCCAGCCCGATGTGCCTCTGCCCGGAGTCCAGCCCGATGTGCCTCTGCCCGGAGTCCAGCCCGATGTGCCTCTGCCCGGAGTCCAGCCCGATGTGCCTCTGCCCAGAGTCCAGCCCGATGTGCCTCTGCCCAGAGTCCAGCCCGATGTGCCTCTGCCCGGAGTCCAGCCCGATGTGCCTCTGCCCGGAGTCCAGCCCGATGTGCCTCTGCCCGGAGTCCAGCCCGATGTGCCTCTGCCCGGAGTCCAGCCCGATGTGCCTCTGCCCGGAGTCCAGCCCGATGTGCCTCTGCCCGGAGTCCAGCCCGATGTGCCTCTGCCCGGAGTCCAGCCCGATGTGCCTCTGCCCAGAGTCCAGCCCGATGTGCCTCTGCCCAGAGTCCAGCCCGATGTGCCTCTGCCCAGAGTCCAGCCCGATGTGCCTCTGCCCAGAGTCCAGCCCGATGTGCCTCTGCCCCGGAGTGCCTCTGCCCGGTGTGCCGCTGCCCGGAGTGCCTCTGCCCGGAGTCCAGCCCGATGTGCCTCTGCCCGGAGTCCAGCCCGATGTGCCTCTGCCCGGAGTCCAGCCCGATGTGCCTCTGCCCGGAGTCCAGCCCGATGTGCCTCTGCCCGGAGTCCAGCCCGATGTGCCTCTGCCCGGAGTCCAGCCCGATGTGCCTCTGCCTAGTGTGCCGCTGCCCGGAGTCCTGCCCGGTGTGCCAGTCTTTGATATCCCGCCAGTTACCAGACCCGGGCGGTGGAACATTTTGCCCAGCTAGGACTGTTTGGAGCCCTGAGGCCGCTCCTTGAGGGGGGGGGTACTGTCAGGAATGGACTGGCCAGCAATAGTGGGACTCGCCTGCCTTATGAGCTGCAGTACCAGGGCTGGCCAGCGGGCGCTCCCAGCAATCAGAGACTCAACCTTGCAGCCAGTCAAACACCTGGAACTAATTATACTGGTGTATTTAAGGGACATTCAGACCTGCAGACTCTGCCTTGGTGTTGTGTTTCTCCTGGGCCCTGTTTCCTGTTCCTGTCTGATTCTCTGCTGACCCTGCTCTGATCCCTGGCTTGTCTGACCATTCTCCTGCTCCTGATCCCTGGCTTGTCTGACCATTCTCCTCTGCCTGACCCTCTGTACCACGCTGCCCGCTACCTGCTGAACCTGGCTTGTGACCCCGACCATTCTCCGCTTGCTCCCCCTGTACCTACCTGCCCGATTGATATTGACCCGGCCTGCCTGACGACGCTTGCATCGTATGTACTGTTATCTGTGGGTGGTTGGTTTGGTTTGTTTGCACTGTGTTATGTTTTAGTATTGCACTGCGTTTATGTTTCTATTGTTAGTGTTAATAAATTACATTGTTTATAACATATCTGAAGTCTGCGTTTCCCTGCGTCAGTCACACACCTCTGGTCACACCCGGGAGCCCTGACACTAAGGGGTTAATCCTCTGCATTGCGTAAAAAGTCAGTTCGATCCTGTCTTCTCTGTTCCTTCCCTTTTTCAAAAGACCCCATTTTATCTCCTGATAAGACAGACTGAATCATAGCCATTCTGCACCTTTAGGTTTTTTACTTGGGAGAGTGCATGTGATCAGCACAGGGCCAATCAGCACTGTCCAGACAGAGGTCAGGGGTTTTGCATCCTCCTAGAGCAGAAAGAAAACTCCTCCTACAAGCTTTAACCAGTGCTCTGCTGAAGTCACAAGACTGCTATATACTGCTGATGAGAACATTTAGCAGTTTATATTTATTAAAATAATTGCATTTCCATGTTGTGTGTACTGTGGGAGACCAGATATAGTGAATGCGGGGTCCGGGGAGACCAGATATAGTGAATGCGGGGCCCGGGGAGAGCGGATATAGTGAATGCAAGGTCCAGGGAGAGCAGATATAGTGAATGCGGGGTCCAGGGAGAGCGGATTTAGTGAATGCGGGGTCCGGGGAGAGCGGATATAGTGAATGCGGGGTCCGGGGAGAGCGGATATAGTGAATGCGGGGTCCGTGGAGAGCGGATATAGTGAATGCGGGGTCTGGGGAGAGCAGATATAGTGAATGCAGGGTCCGGGGAGACCAGCTATAGTGAATGCAGGGTCCGGGGAGAGCGGCTATAGTGAATACAGGGTCCGGGGAGATCAGATATAGTGAATGCAGGGTCGGGGGAGAGCGGATATAGTGAATGCAGGGTCCGGGGAGAGCGGATATAGTGAATGCAGGGTCCGGGGAGACCAGATATAGTGAATGCAAGGTCCGGGGAGACCAGATATAGTGAATGCAGGGTCCGGGGATATCGGATATAGTGAATGCAGGGTCTAGGGAGGGCAGATATAGTGAATGCAGGGCACGGGGAGAGCGGATATAGTGAATGTAGGGTCGGGGGAGAGCGGATATAGTGAATGCAGGGTCCGGGGAGAGCGGATATAGTGAATGTAGGGTCGGGGGAGAGCGGATATAGTGAATGCAGGGTCTGGGAAGAGCAGATATAGTGAATGCAGGGCCCGGGGAGAGCGGATATAGTGAATGCAGGGTCCGGGGAGAGCGGATATAGTGAATGCAGGGTGCGGGGAGAGCGGATATAGTGAATGCAGGGTCCGGAGAGAACAGATATAGTGAATGCAGGGTCCGGGGAGAGCTGATATAGTTAATGCAGGGTCCGGGGAGAGCGGATATAGTGAATGCAGGGTCCGGGGAGAGCGGATATAGTGAATGCAGGGTCCGGAGAGAACAGATATAGTGAATGCAGGGTCTAGGGAGGGCAGATATAGTGAATGCAGGGCACGGGGAGAGCGGATATAGTGAATGCAGGGTCGGGGGGAGAGCGGATATAGTGAATGCAGGGTCCGGGGAGAGCGGATATAGTTAATGCAGGGTCGGGGAGAGCAGATATAGTGAATGCAGGGTCTGGGGAGAGCGGATATAGTGAATGCAGGGTCCAGGGAGAGCGGATATAGTTAATGCAGGGTCCGGGGAGAGCGGATATCGTGAATGCAGGGTCCGGAGAGAACAGATATAGTGAATGCAGGGTCCGGGGAGAGCGGATATAGTTAATGCAGGGTCCGGGAGAGAGAGGATATAGTGAATGCAGGGTCCGGGGAGAGCGGATATAGTTAATGCAGGGTCCGGGGAGAGCGGATATAGTGAATGCAGGGTCTGGGGAGAGCGGATATAGTGAATGCAGGGTCCAGGGAGAGTGGATATAGTTAATGCAGGGTCCGGGGAGAGCGGATATAGTGAATGCAGGGTCCCGAGAGAGAACAGATATAGTGAATGCAGGGTCCGGGGAGAACAGATATAGTGAATGCAGGGTCCGGGGAGAGCGGATATAGTGAATGCAGGGTCCGGGGAGAGCGGATATAGTGAATGCAGGGTCCGGGGAGAGCGGATATAGTGAATGCAGGGTCCGGGGAGAGCGGATATAGTGAATGCAGGGTCCGGGGTTTAGTAACACTTTAAGTTTAAAAAACGGAAACTGTTCATGAAACACTGTGCTTTATCAAATAAATACGAGTGAGGGTTTAAATCTAAAATCACTGTTTTTTGTCCGGTATCCTGGTCACGTGACCAATCAACCTAAAAAGCCGGAGCGGACACTAAAGTTCATACCATTTTGGGTGACAACAAGGGGAACTGAGAAAAATGCGTTGTGGTTTTTCAGGAGCAAATGACCCCACTCCCCCCCCCCCCCTCCCCTCCCCCTCTTAGTCTATCTAGGCTATGTTCTGCGTTTTCATTTAGAAAAAAAAAAACTTGTGTGAAGTAATTTGTTAAATGGGAGCTTGTTATATGCAAATGAAGGTAATAATCCTCAAACACCTGCTTTTGCTTATTAAGCTCAGGGAGCGGAGTATAATGTATTCATAGACTTATCTTAATTTCATATTCCTTAAAGTGATGTTTTCATTTTAGTCTTAAAATGCTTTAATAGACTCCCACCTACGGCAGGCTTTATGATTTCTTGGAAAAAAAAAATAAAAAAAATAAAAAAAAAAAAAGAATAAAATAAACAGCATTTTAAAGTTTAGACGGTACTTAAAGGGGAACCCAACTTTGGATTATTTCCAGAAGATTTGGTTTTTATTTTTGTTTCCCTCTAAGTGACCTGATTGTGACTTATCCTTTAGTATGACGAGCCGCCTGGGTGATTCTGTCAGAGAACTGCTTCCTCGCCGCTGGGACACAGGACCAAGGTACTATAGCTGGGCATTGCACCCAAGGACTGGACGACACTAGCTTAGGTGCAGCTGGAATTCTTTTTTGAACAGAAATACATGTTTTTATACACTTCGGAAATAGGGGCAGTCCCCACAGGAATAATAAAAACAAATATTGCACATTGGGAGAAACATCCCCAATCGATTACATAGTTACATAGTTAGTCTAGCCAGTGGTGTTTTTAGGTTTTGTGCTGCCCTAGACAACACAAAATTGGCACCCCCCCATCCCCAGAGACAGCCTTCCACTAGCATTGATCCCATACACCTGCCACTCCCCTCCCAGTGAGAGAGAGAGAGAGAGAGAGAGGGAGAGAAAGACCTCCACCTTCACAGCTCTGGACATCCCTGGGAACGAGAGTCAAGACACCCTCAGCCTCTCTCAGATCCCACCCAGTCCCCAAGCCGCATGTGTCCCCTCTTCCGTCCCTTCTTTCAGAAAAATGCCGCCTTAGGCAAAGGCCTTGTTTGCCTTGTGGTAAATAGTCCCCTGAGTCTGGCTTAGTCTAGCTTAGGTGCAGCTGGAACTCTTTTTTGAACAGAAATACATGTTTTTATACACTTCAGAAATAGGGGCAGTCCCCACAGGAATTATAAAAACAAATATTGCACATTGGGAGAAACATACCTAACTGATTACATAGTTAGTCTGGCCAGTGGTGTTTTTAGGTTTTGTGCTGCCCTGGGCAACACAAAATTGACACCCCCCATCCCCAGAGACAGCCTTCCACTAGAATTGCCCCCATACACCGGCCACTCCCCTCCCAGTGAGAGAGAGAGAGGAAGACCCCACCTTCACAGCTCTGGACATCCCTTGGAACGAGAGTCAAGCAACCCTCAGCCTCTCTCAGATCCTACCCAGTCCCCAAGCCGCATGTGTCCCCTGCTCCATCCCTTCTTTCAGAAAAATGCCGCCTTAGGCAAATGCCTTGTTTGCCTTGTGGTAAATACGCCCCTGAGTCTGGCTTAGTCTAGCTTAGGTGCAGCTGGAACTCTTTTTTGAACAGAAATACATGTTTCTATACACTTTGGAAATAGGGGCAGTTCCCACAGGAATAATAAAAACAAATATTGCACATTGGGAGAAACATCCCCAACTGATTACATAGTTACATAGTTAGTCTAGCCAGTGGTGTTTTTAGGTTTTTTGCTGCCCTGGGCAACACAAAATTGACACCCCCCATCCCCAGAGACAGCCTTCCACTAGCATTGCCCCCATACACCGGCCACTCCCCTCCCAGTGAGAGAGAGAAAGACCCCCACCTTCCCAGCTCTGGACATCCCTGGGAACGAGAGTCAAGCAACCCTCAGCCTCTCTCAGATCCTAACCAGTCCCCAAGCCGCATGTGTTCCCTCTTCTGTCCCTTCTTTCAGAAAAATGCTGCCTTAGGCAAATGCCTTGTTTGCCTTGTGGTAAATACGCCCCTGAGTCTGGCTTAGTCTAGCTTAGGTGCAGCTGGAAACTCTTTTTTTTGAACAGAAATACATGTTTTTATACACTTCAGAAATAGGGGCAGTCCCCACATGAATAATAAAAACAAATATTGCACATTGGGAGAAACATCCCCAGCTGATTCCATAGTTACATAGTTAGTCTGGCTTACTCTAGTTTAGATGCAGCTGGAACTCTTTTTTGAACAGAAATGCATGTTTTTATACACTTCAGAAATAGGGGCAGTCCCCACATGAATAATAAAAACAAATATTGCACATTGGGAGAAACACCCCCAACTGATTACATAGTTACATAGTTAGTCTGGCTGAAAAACAACAAAAGTCCATCCAGTTCAACCATAGAAATTTTTTTTTACAATTCTACACCCACAGTTGATCCAGAGGAAGGCAAAAAACACAGCAAAGCACGATCCATTTGCTCCTGCTGGGAAAAAAAAATTCCTTCCTGATCCCCCGAGAGGCAATCGGATATTCCCTGGATCAACTTTACCTATAAATGTTATATCCAGTTATATTCTGTGTATCCAAGAAAGAATCCAGGACTTTTTTGAAGTAATCCATTGATTACATAACGAGGTAAAGCTGACACAAGACTAATCCCATTGTGTGGGAACCTCCAGGAGGACTAGCCAACAGACAAAAGGTGACTCAACAATGGGACAAAGACGTAACAGTAAACACATCACTGGGGCTGTCTTAATAGCATCATTGGCCCCTGGGCAAAGTAATGCACTGGGGCCCCTACCGGCCTGCCCCAATTTACACACCTGCTCTCAAGAATCAAAGTATAGATAGCTGATAGAATTAAACATAAATTTAATAGTACTCTCAATAAAATTGATTTGAAATAGTAAGAAAACAGGCCATAAATCAAAGACTAATCAACACAAAGGGCACAGCATGGGGAAAGAAGGGCTCAGTACCAGAGGGAGGGGGTTGGTCACAATACTGACATCTTGGGGGCACAGTGCAGGTTCCGAGACGCTGCCTGGGCCACTCTGGGACAGCTTAGTAAAAAGCGTGACTGTCCCAGAAAATCCGGGACAGTTGGCAAAAATGATGTGGTTCAGAATGGCGGTCTTTATCAAGCCCTAACATAGGTCTTCTATGGCATCATATCAAGATTCTAATCAAATCCACTGGTCAAGCCCTGAATAAGGGGGAGGCCTTTCCCTTGAAATGCGTTGACTCTATTAGATGCTCTTAACTAACGCATTTTTTTAAAAAAGACTGTTAAATCATATGCACTTTTTTTTTTTAACAAGGTACTCCTTAATACCCACCCCAGACTTTATTGTCAGCATAAATTGGTGGAAGTTTGAAAAGGAGAAAGCAGGGGCGGACTGACCATTTGGAGGGCCCGGGGTCAGTAGGGGGCCCCATGAGATTCCCCTGGTACCTTTTTCATAGGCTTTTTTGAGTTTGGACAAGGACACAGGGGCCCCATGATCCCCTATTGCCCGGGGGCCCCATGAGTTGTCAGTCCGCCCCTGGGAGAAAGTATGATAGTATAGCAACTTTGAACCAATGGACCAGCGATATGTCAACAAATGTAACCACATTTTGTGCAGAGGTTACAAATTAACTGATACAAGGTAACAATCTGCTGACTGCACAGAAATTCTATATGTATATTGTATATATTTATATATATATATGTGTGTGTGTGTAGGCAGGCGTAGTCTATTTTCTCCACTGTAGGAGGCGCTTGTCCGTAGTGGTACTGCGGCTGGAGAGGGAGTCAAGGGAAACTTGAATTCTCTATGGTTCCCTTAAACGGCGTTCCAGTTGGCTACGCTGGATCCAGATGACCCTGGTGGCCATCTTGGGGCACGTAGAATCTCTTTAAGCCCCTGCCTCCAGGTTTTGGTGCTCCATTTGCAAAGTGGCTAGTGGAGGGAGAGCATACCCATCTGTCAGAGACAGCACTAGCGACAGGGAGTCGTTCCTGGAAAGCTCTACAGCTGCACTTCAGCAAGGTCCTATTTGGGTTAGACCAGCCAGGCTGCAATCTATCCCCCTTTGGCAAGTGTTGTCTTCAATTGGGGCCTACCACCACATTCCACCCCCCTTGGCAAGTGTTGTCTTCAATTGGGGCCTACCACTGCATTCCACCCCCCCTTGGCAAGCGGTGTCTTCAATTAGGGCCTACCACCACATTCCACCCCCCCTTGGCAAGTGTTGTCTTCAATTGGGGCCTACCACTGCATTCCACCCCCCCTTGTCAAGCATTGTCTTCAATTGGGGCCTGCCACCGCATTCCACCCCCTTGGCAAGCGTTGTCTTCAATTGGGGCCTACCACCGCATTTCAACCCCCCCCCTTGGCGTTATTTTCAGTTGGGGCCTACCACTGCATTCCACCCCCCCCCTTGGCAAGCATCTTCAATTGGGGCCTACCACCGCATTCCACCCCTCCTTGGCAAGCGTTGTCTTCAGTTGGGGCCTACCATCGAATTCCACCCCCCTTGGCAAGCGTTGTCTTCAATTGGGGTCTACCACCGCATTCCACCCCCCCCCCTTGGCAAGCGTTGTCTTCAATTAGGGCCTACCACCGCATTCCACCCCCGCTTGGCAAGCATTGTCTTCAATTGCGGCCTACCACTGCATTCCACCCTCCCCCTTGGCAAGCGTCTTCAATTGGGGCCTACCATCGCATTCCACCCCCCCCCTTTCCTTGGCAAGCATTGTCTTCAAT